GCGACGAGTAACAACTAGCTACCAAAACACTCAAAACGTTTGCACTTACTCAAAAAACACTTTAGTCTCATCTAGGCAACGTTCAGCAGGTCCCACGACTGTCATTTAAGCCCCCTGGAAGCTATGATGGAAACGACCATGAAAACGACCATGTAAACACTCGCTCAAAACCAGAGCATAGTGTTACAGTTGCTTGCAGCGAAGCAGTCCAAATAATTGATGACAAATCTACGAATAACCACGTGGATATGAAATATGAAATAACACAGTTCCTGAATGAAAATCATATCGACATTATGCTACTGATAGAGACGCACCTCACAAACAAATGCAATTTCCGAATAAGATGCTACAGATCATCCAGATGGTAAAGCCCACGGCGGAACCGGCAACTTAATCAGGGAACGCATCAAACACCACTTTCACGAATGGTTTGCAACTAATTACTTGCAGGCCACGTCTATCAAATTACAGTCAGATAGCGGACCCCTTTCCATAGCCGCTGTCTACTGCCCGCCTCGCTTTACAATTACTGAAGGACAATTCATGGATTTTTACAACTTACTTGGATATCGCTTCATAGCAGCAGGAGATTATAATGCCAAACATACCCACTGGGGATCACGACTAGTGACTCCCAAAGGAAGGCCATTATATAATGCAATTATAAAACTGAGCGAAAAACTTGACTATGTTTCTTCAGATTGCCCCACATACTGGCCATCAAACCCCAGAAAGATCCCAGACTTAATAGATTTTGCGGTGTCAAAAAACATTCTAGGCAATAAAATAAGCGCCAAAGCGCTTTCGGAACTTTCATCTGGCTATTCGCCAGTGCTAATAACTCTTCTTTAAAGCCCAGAAATTACAGATCACCCCCAGAGACTGACATTGCACAGAACAAACTGGTTAAAATATAAAATGTATTTAAGTTCCCACATCGAACTAACCCCACATCTCAACATCGAAGCGGATATCGAAAGATCCACTGATGCTCTTGAAGATGTACTTGTGGCAGCAGCCACTATTTCACACCAAAATCGAAGGACGTGCAAATCAACCATTCCAAAACTAATATGCAATTGGAACAGCGTGTACTGAAAAAAAACGCCTGCGACGTGCTTGGGAAACCAACAGATCGCCATATTCAAAACAACGTCTTAAGGAAGCAACTCGCACACTAAACCGAGCCCTGAAGAAAGACGTTGAAAATGCGGTACAACTGTGGTACATTCGCCAACCAGTACAAAAGATCCTCTGTGGAGGGCTCACCCAAATCTGAGCTCTTCAAACGAAACAGTCACTCCGATAAGAAACTCATCAGGTAGCTGGGCCCGCAGCGACGAAGGTAGAGCAGAAACTTTTGGTTCACATCTCCGAAGCGTTTTCCAGCCGAACTCTGCTTTTTTTTTTTTTTATAGTTTGTTGAACACGCTACACAAGGATGGACCTTGTTTTCGTGTATTGACGAATTATTCCTAAAGATCCCAAAAAAAGCGGATAAGGGGTGCTCCATTCTTGAGCAAATCAGGTGTGGTCATAGCCGGTCAAAAGTTAGATGGCGAAAGTGATCAGGGATCTGAAAACGAAAAAGGCTCCGGGCAGTGACCTAATAACACCAAAAATGATATTTAAACTTCCAAACTCTGCTATTGAGGCTATTTGTAAATTCTTTAATGGGATCATACGTCTCGGCTACTATTCGAGCAAATGGAAAAAATCATAATGATACCGAAGCCCGGAAAAGACCACACAATTCCTTCATCCTACACACCAATAAGTTTACTATCGTGTGTGTCTAAATTGTTCGAAAAATGTCTTCTTACACGCATAATACCATATCTGGAAGCACACAAAATTATCCCGGCACATCAATTTGGCTTTCGTCAAAGACATGGTACAATCGAACAAGTTAACAGAATAACATCAGAAATCCGCACTGCCTTTGAGAATTGGGAGTATTGCAGCGCAATATTCCTCGATGTATCTCAAGCTTTCGATCGAGTCTGGCTCGATGGCCTCATGCATAAAATCAAAACACACTTGCCTACATACACTCATAAACTACTTGATTCGTATCTGTACAACAAAGTCTTCGTAGTAAGGTGCAACACAACAACATCTGACGACTACATTAAGGAAGCGCACTTGGGCCTACTCTGTTCGTCCTAACATATATACAGCGGATATTCCTACAAACGAGCAGCTAACAACATCTACGCTCGCTGACGACACTGCATTCCCAAGTCACTCGAGGAGCCCAAGTCGAGCAACAGCACAAATAGCCAATCACCTCATCGTACTTGAGAGGAGGCTTTCTGATTGGCGTATTAAAACAAATTAACAAAAATGTAAACATACTACTCTCAACAGGCAAACATGCACTTCACTATCATTGAATAGTATGTCGATTCCCCAAATCAACGAAGTAACCTATCTTGGCGCCCACCTCGACAGACGACTAACCTGGAGAAGACACAACGAATGCAAGAAACTTCATTTAAAACTAAAAGCCACCAGCTTCCACTGGATATTATGCTTTCGATCGCCCTTGCTGGACTACAAGGTCCTGCTCTACAACTCTACTCTCAAATACTCTGCGCTTAAATCATCTCGGTGGAGTGGCAGAAGCGTGGATTGCCATACGGGCATATTCTAATTTGGCTACGCGAGAAAATTAGAACCATAAAATTGATGATGTGATATCAGCGGAAATTCCCGATAAGGAGTAAGATCCGTGCTTGCATAAGGTCGTTTGATTCATGGTCACTGCGGAGTATAAAATAAGAATTCTCCATGTATGATAGACAGAAAATGTTCGAAGCGTAATCCATGTGCATTCGTAGAAAAAACAATTACCGTAAATTATGGTTATCCGCCATATCGTCGGCGATCGACCGCGCATAATGGAAGATCAACAATTATCGAAGTAAATCGATAAGAGATTGAAGTTGGATCGTCGGTATATCGTTCCGTATTCACCATTACTTTCGAAAACATTCAAGGCGCATATAAATGTCGAATCCTGTCATTCCAAGAAATCCATAAAATCCAAATGTATGTATTCTCACGACGAAATTACTCAGTATCAATAGGGTCGTTATATCAGCGAATTTTCTGATTTGCCATCCATGAATTGGCCTTACATTTAGAAAATGGGCAAAGAGTGTAGTTCACGACAGAAATCGCACTGCAACAAGCGGAGCAACCACCATCTACAACATTGACAATCTTTTTTGAAACATGTAAGTGTGATTATTTCGCCAGAACAACGTCTAGCTAGTTTTTAAATAATTACGCATAGTAATTGAAATACTATATAGTCGTTTTATGATATATTTAATTTTTGTAACAGCTGCAGGGCTATATAAACTTAGGATTTTTTTCTTTTTATTTATTAATGTGCACATCAATACGAAATGCATTGTACATATATATATAATTAAATATTCGTACCGTAAGTTTGATATAAAAAAAAAACTTTATTTAATTTTAAATAAACCGATACAATTTTGTTTTCTATTTGGAAGAACACCGACCTGATAATTACAAGTCTCAAACTGAACTCGCTCTCTAACTCCTACTTTATCTACGATCAAACTTCGGTTCTGAGCTTTGGAGCTTTTTAATGAGTGGCTTTAGTGTTTATTGAGTGTCTTTCATAATTGTACTTTGTTCTCATCTTGTTTATGATTTCGGTCCCGAAATCTGAGTATCCTGAGTCGTGGGAAAGGAGCGATAGTCAGATCACCGGCTCATTCAATTTGTTTAGTCTATTAGTCTGGAGTTTTTAATAACATGGAAATTTTCCATTGGTTTGTTGACAATTAGGTTTCGATTTCTCTGAGGGTGTCTTAAAGTAATGTGTACGTGTGTATGTATGTGTGGGTGAGTAGACATGTACATATAGGTTTGTGTTGCTATGCATATGTCACTATATATAATATATTTTAAATATCTTTAAAGTCGAAATTTTTAAGCTTGAGAAAATTCCTTTGATATAATACATAAATATTCTTAATAATTATTATATACGATTTTTATATTAGTCGGTAGAGGGTAGGGTTAAGAGAACACAATGATGAAGTTAAATAATAATGACAAGGCCTTTTCCTTAAATGATTCTCTTAATCTCGTTATAGGGGCATATGAAAAAAGTATATACGCAAATTATCTAAATTAAAATTAAGGTCTCTTAACGATTAAGATCATTAAGATCGTAATTTCTTTACCAAAAAAACGAGGAATAAATATTGATACTAATGAAATTTAATCTTGAAAAACTTCTAGTATCTAGTAGGTTGGAAGGAATGAGTATTGACATGTATATACAAATGTTGTGTGGGGGCTGATTTTTCTAACTGATTTTTGAAATTTTATTTTGTTAGATCGGATGACGAAATTTTAAGTTTGTATAAGAAGAAATTCCAATACGCTTATGAGATATACATACATCGAACAAAAAAGGAAGGAAAGTTTATATGACGCTATATCGATTTTGCGCCTAATTTTGCCATCGTTCCTATGGCAGCTATATGATATAGATTTCCGATTTTAATTTAATTAAAACTGTATTCCTTAGTATTTAAATATTTTTAAATCCCAAGGAATACAAAAAAATTTAAAACAACAAAAATATTTCATTTTTCCGATTGTTCCCGGCTCGATCCGACTTATACTTATACTTGCAGGTAGTGCAATAGAAGGGCAACTTTTGGGAAAGTTTCAAGCAGATATCTTTAAAACTGAGAGATGGCGGACCGACGGTCAGACAGACGCACGGACGGAGAGATGGATGGACGGGCGGACTTACCGGTATTTTATAGTGGGGTCACTAGATTTGTTAAGTTACTTTGAGACTTCGATTTGAATCAATTTAAGCATAATTATATTATAAGGGAAAAAAATATTTGCTATATTTTTCGAACTTAAAACAAATATACAGAAACCTTACGGAAATCAGAAGAATAAAGTGCTTTGAATTTTTAATTTATTTTTAGATATTGACAACAATGGATTTTTGGACCAAAATGACTTTCTGTGCATGGCAGTAAGAGCTTGTGTGGTTGAAGGAAAGGGTGATTGCAGCACTGCTCGATTGGATGACTATAAAAAACTTATGAAAAATTTATGGGAAGAAATTTCTGCGATTGCTGATGACGATAAGGTATAAATATAAAAAGAAGAAAGACTTATGGAATCAAGAAATAATGAACTCTTAGTTATTTATTTACTTTAAAAGGCTCTCATATTTCACATTTTGAATGTGGGTTATTCCACTAACAATGTATATGAGTGCGCCAACACTGGTAAATATCGAAAAGCATGCGTATTACAAAAAACATATACCCTTCAGAGCGAAGCACTTTTATATCCTTTTCAGACAGCTGCTTAAAATCACATCAATAAAAAGGTAGATGCTTCTGATTAGAAGAGCTTGAAATAAAATCGAGTCTCAAATTAAAAATTTAATTTTTTAGTTTTTTGTCAATGCATCGACTTGTATTGGCCACAAGATTAATAAATTATCTTAAAGTAATCAATTATATAATAGCACATTATTAGCTCTATGTAAAAGTGAGGGACCAATAATAGTTTGAAAAAATTTTAGGCAATCAAAATGATCTATAAAAACCAATTTTTATAAATATGTGTATTGTTCACTGGTCACTATTTGCACTATTTGGGAGAAGCGATAAGCAATATGTGAACATTGAGATAAAAGTCCGGGGAAAAACTAATATTTAATTTTACGCTATGTATTGACTACCAATTTAAGATTATCAAAAGAAAAAAACTAGAATCTCAGTTATTTTTACAATGATTTTTAATATTAGGATATATAATTTTTGGTTGATCTACACAGCAAAGTTAAACAAATCTAACACGTTGGGGCTCTTATCCTCAAGACGAATATGGTTATACATGATAACAGTAACATGCATCTTTTATAAGAAGATAAGATAAAGGTAATGCAGATACTAATTTGGAGTACCAATAAAAGGTCGCATGAGGAATACCAAACCTCTTTTTACTGGATATTACTGCTTATATCCGTAGCAACCTCCAAGTTGATGATTTAAAGGTTGAACAATTTTGAGCTGCAAAATTATCTGCTAAGAAATACTGCCCTCCACATCTTTTAAAATGAACCACGATCTATCCTGACGTTTGAGTCCTAACCCTTGATGCCAACCTGCCCTATTTATAAATATATTTATAGTTTTAGATTTACCACCTGCACCACTATTTTCTGTCTCAACTTTCAACTTTGTCTAAAGAAAGTTCGTTATCACTGTTTCGGTTTTAATTAAATCGTACCCAATTGTAGCTATGAAAATTTGCGACCAAACTTTTTTCTCCCTCTTCTACCATGAGTTTTGGAATCTTATAACAAAAGCACTCAATTAAATGTTTAGTATTTCGTTTAACGCTTCATCACAATATAGACTTCCTAAATCAACTGGAACCTTTTGCATGTCTTAGGCTTCTGCCAAGATACGTACACTAAGCCCTATTCCCCAGTGTGTCCTGCAGTGATCCTCTACTTTTTCTAGTTAACCAGCAAGGAGTTACGAAAGGGAATATATTGGATCAGGAGCTTGCTACATATAATTGCCCATGTGAAAAACATGGGTTTTTAAGACTTGTTTATTATCATTGCAAATGCAAGTCTACCTGTACGACTGCAGGCCTTTGAAGTTGAATGGCATATCGGTAGAAGTACTGGGAGATGGGTGCTATTAAAACATTTTTCCCTTTATACTTCCCTTTATGAATTGTACGTGATGTGGCTGATTAATATTTCCTAACATTATATTTACTGATCCGACTTTTAATTGAAGAACATTTTGGATTCTGCAATTTAATTCGTCGCCATCTATATTTTTTTTGCAGCTAAAGTAGCACATCCGCTCAACCAATCATAATTTGTATGGTTTTGAGCAATGCCCGGGAATACTTTTTAGATGAGAGCGTCCTCTGAGTCAGTTATCTGACAAAAATTTGGAGCGAATGTAATACATCCAGTGTAACAATTTCTTGAAAAATACTTCTCCGGACTGGTCGTTTTGCAATTCAACAAGCATGTTCATACTCACATGATTTCCAACAAGCATTAAGCTCGTCAGCTGATGCCGACCGGGGTATGACTGGCAATGTTCGGCGAAAATCACCTGCTATGAGAATCATTTCACCACCAAAACGATTATAATTATTCCGCAGATTTCGCAGACTCCAGTCTAGGGCCCCCAGAGATTTCTAATGCGCCATAGTACACTCATCCCGATTGCAGTGATGCAAAACTTTGGCCTTTGAGCAATTCTTTGAGTGAGTGCATACTGGAGTTTCATTAATTTGCATATTTAACGGTAACTTGAGTGAAGATGAGTTGTTCGACCGCCTTCCAACAATGTAGCACGTGCTAGAGTAGTTTCATTTTGTGAGCGAATGAAGGCTAAAATTAATAAAATCAAAAGAGTTTGGTTAATTCCACCGGTCGCGTCCTAAAAGAAAATTCCTCTACTACCATTAATAACAGCTTTCATGAGCGTGTTGCCAGCATGTTTTTGTTGCTGAGTTTAAAACATTTACTCGAACTGATTCTCTCATTGCATGACAATTATATTGTTCATGCCTTTATTCAGCGCACCATGCATTGGACGATTAGGCATACCTAATTGAGATAATATCCTCTTCGATATTTTTAAGCAGACGTCCTCAATGAGTATCGATAGTTTTTTGTAAGTTTTGCAGAAATGGATTCGATGTTCTAATACGGATATGATGTATGGTATTGTTAGCCATGTCATTTTTGTATTTATGCCACAATTCAATTGGTTTTGATGGAAAGCATTTTGGGATAACTATTGAGAACAATGATGGTGACCCGAAACTACATCATCCTCCAGCGTGTGAACCCAATGAGTGTCATCCACTAATAATCTCTAACGTTGACAGACCTCCCTACCACACAATTCAACATCAATACAAAACGTAAATAGAGGCATTTATCGTTGCCTGAATGAACTGTCTAAATAAGGCCAAATGCATCCGTGTAAAATACACTTGGATAGATAGGCCTTGAACAAAACTTCCTTGTTTCCGTCGTTGAAATTTTGTTAATGATTAATTCAAATCAAAGGCTTAAAGTAACTTAACAAGTCGAGTTACCCGACTATAAAATACCCGTAAGTTAGCTACCCAATTTCAAAATAAATATGCCCCCAGATGATGGCCTATTTCGAAAATTGTCGGTGGTGTCATCTGCTAAACTGGAGTGTCAGCAAGCTGAGAGCGAGCAGCACCTCCACTCAAATATATAAATACTCATTAACTTCTAAAGTCATGGTGCTATTTAAAAATGTACACCGAAAAATATTGACGGATAACGTATTTTTGGATTATACCGCCGTATTTATACTTGCAGTCAAAAGTTTGCAAATCAATGAAGGAGACAGTTCCGACCCAATAAGGTATATATTATATATGTATTCTAGATCAGCATCACCAGGATCGATCTAGCAGGTTCGTCTGCCCTTCCGTCCGTCCGTCTGTCCGTCCATCTGACCGTCCGTCTGTCCGTCCGTCTGTCCGTCCGTTTATACGCAAACTAGTCTCTCAGTTTTAAAGATATCTGCTTGAAACTTTCCCAAAAGTTTTCTTTCTATTGCACTACCTGCAAATTAAGTATAAGTCGGATCAAGCCGGGAACAATCGGAAAAATGAAAAAATTTATATATTTGTTTTTTTAATTTTTTTGCATTACTTAGGGATTGCAAATATTTAAATACTATGGAATACGGCTTTAATTAAATTAAAATCGGGCATCTATATCATATAGCTACCATAGGAACGAAGGCAAAATGCGGCTCAAAATCGATATAGCGTCATTGTTTTTAGTAATATAGGCATAACTGCAAGGGTATATACACTTCGGCTTGCCTTAGTTTCCTTCCTTTTTTGTTCAATATATATTTCATAAACGTAATGGAATTTCTTCTTAACCTTTTCAGTTGAGTTCTGTTTAAAAACTTGATTTTATTTTCTAATGAAATTTTCTAGGAAACTTACATGAAATTCTTATTCTGGTCTTATCTGTGGCCTACGCAGATGCCGCGTTTGCCTGAGCGGGAGAGTTATCATTTGACCCCCGCAAAGGAACACTTGGTGTAGTGTGAGAAACATCTCAAGTGATTAATTTTGGTTAGGCTCAAATGGCCTGCACTTACTAATTACAAGTGCTAAAACTGCTCCCTTGTAGGGCGTAAAATTACAGATCACAGTTTCATGGTTCTAGATCGATTTACAACTGTCACAAGTCATGCACAGAGCTCATAAAGTATTATATTTTATTTTTAATAGTGTTCGTCTGAACATTCTGGCAAGGGCCGGCAAGATTAGTTGTATGTGTTAATTACAATTTATTATATTTATTTTTAATAACATTGCAATACAAAATTAGTGGACTGTATTTATTCGATATATTTTATTTTGCATACAAAATTTTACACCTTGCAACGGATTGCTATTATTGTGATTTAAGATTTTAGAGAATTTATTTATTTTTTAACATAATACATGTTTATATCATTGATTTATTGTATCTACAAATTTAAATATTAAGCATACCGCTGGGTAATGCTATGGCTTGTAACTGCCTTCGTACTTTTATTTTTCTTATGAAATATACAGTTAATATTGTTATTATTACAATTGCTTAAATTAGGGATAAATGTCCAGTTAAATGAAGAGAGTCTAACTCCCTCAATTCCAGCTTGTGATATTTTAAATTTGCTTTGATAAATGAATGATTTCGTCCGTATGGTTAATTAATGGCATTTAGAGCGGGTTCCAAATAATCTTTGGTATTGCGTTGACTTCTCCAATATATGACAAAGCTAACGTTCCCTGATCTTCTAGCGGAATACTGTGTTGAGCAACCAATATTTTATCATCAGTTCGAGTACAATCTGACCTTAACGTTATTATTATTTCTTTTTAAGGTTAATCTTTACTATCTCTATTTTTGAGTTGCTACATTGAACTCCAGCCTTTGAAGTGTTCTGAACCTTAAAAAGCCAACTTTTCTTTGCCAACTCAACCCAATATGACTTAATCTCTACAATCGATTTATACCTGCAGTTCGATGACTTATTTGATTTGACA